AGATTGGTTCAAAAGACCTCATGAAAGACGACACACGAAGTGAGGATACCCGGCCCGGAGGAAGCCCGGAGTCCCCTCTGGAGCCAGGCCCAGAAGGAGGACTCGTCGGCGAGCATCTGGTGGCCGGGCTTGCCACGGAGCCCGGCCGGGCACAGCCCAAAAAGGCAACGTGGGCAACACCTCCGCTTCTCCGTCCCGCGGGCCCACCACCTACGGGAAACAGCGATGGGGTCGGGTGCGCTGCCAGAAGGGTGGCAGTGAAAGCAGAGGGTCTCGACGGACCAGACCCGGGCGACAGAAGCTGGCTTTGGGGACGTGGAACGTCACCTAGCTGGGGGGGAAGGAGCCGGAGCTTGTGCGGGAGGTGGAGCGTTACCAGTTGGATCTGGTTGGGCTCACCTCTACGCACAGCGTCGGCTCTGGAACCTTACTTCTGGATAGGGGTTGGACTCTATTCTTCTCCGGAGTTGCCCAAGGTGTGAGGCGCCGGGCGGGTGTGGGGATACTCACAAGCCCCAGTGGACGAGAGGGTCGCCTCCCTACGCCTGCGGGTTATGGGGGGGAAAACTCTGACTGTTGTGTGTGCTTATGCACCAAACAGCAGTTCAGAGTATACGGCCTTCTTGGAGACCCTGGAAAGAGTCCTGTATGGGGCTCCTGAAGGGGACTCTTTAATCTTGCTGGGAGACTTCAACGCACATGTGGGCAATGATGGATACACTTGGAGGGGCGTGATTGGGAGGAACGGCCCCCCCTGATCTGAACCGGAGTGGTGGTTTGTTACTGGACTTCTGTGCTAGTCATGGATTGGCCATAACAAACACCATGTTTGAACATAAGGATGCTCATAAGTGTACGTGGTACCAGAGCACCCTAGGCAGAAGGTCCATGATCGATTTCGTTATCGTATCATCGGACCTGAGGCCGTATGTTTTGGACACTCGGGTAAAGAGAGGGGCGGAGTTGTCAACTGATCACCATCTGGTGGTGAGTTGGGTCGAGTGGCGGGGGAAGCCTCTGGACAGACCTAGTAAGCCCAAAAGTGTAGTTCGGGTGAACTGGGAACGTCTGGAGGACGCCCAAGTTCAGGAGGCCTTCAACTCACACCTCCGGCGGAGCTTTTCGGGCATTCCTGTGAAGGTTGGGGACATTGAACCAGAGTGGACAGTGTTCAAAGCCTCTATTGCCGAAGGCGCGGCGGGGAGCTGTGGTCTCAAGGTCTTAGGTGCCTCAAGGGGCGGTAACCCTCGAACCTCCTGGTGGACACCGGTGGTCAGGGCAGCATTCCGACTGAAGAAGGAGGCCTTAGGGATTTGTTATCCCGGGGGACTCCCGAGGCAGTTGCAAGGTACCGACAGGCCCGAAGGGCAGCAGCCTCAGCCGTTGCCGAGGCAAAGCAGCGGGTGCGGGAGAAGTTCGGAGAAGACATGGAAAAGGACTTTCGGGCGGCACCAAAGTTGTTCTGGAAAACTGTCCGACACCTCAGGAGGGGGAAGCAGGGAACCATCCAAGCTGTGTACAGTAAGGATGGGACGTTGTTGACCTCAACTGATGTGTTAGGGCGTTGGAAGGAACACTTTGAGGAACTCCTGAACCCGACAACTCCGCCCTCTATGGTAGAGGCAGAGCTGGAATATGACGGGGGATCAACACCAATCTCCCGGGGGGAGGTCACTGAGGTTGTCAAACAACTCCACAGTGGCAAAGCCCCGGGGGTGGATGAGATCCGCCCAGAAATGCTGAAGGCTCTGGGTGTTGAGGGACTGTCATGGTTGACACGTCTCATCAACGTTGCGTGGAAGTCTGAAACAGTAGCAGTGGCAGAGTGGGGTGGTGGTTCCCCTTTTCAAAAAGGGGGATCAGAGGGTGCGTGCCAATTACAGAGACATCACACTACTCAGCCTCCCCGGGAAAGTTTACTCTAAGGTACTCGAAAGGAGGGTCAGGCCGATTGTCGAACCTCAGATTGAGGAGGAACAATGCGGATTCCGTCCTGGTCGTGGAACGACGGATCAGCTTTTTACTCTCGCAAGGATCCTGGAGTGGGCCTGGGAGTACGCTTATCCGGTCTACATGTGTTTTGTAGACTTGGAGAAGGCGTATGACCGGGTTCCCAGGGAGTTACTGTGGGATGTGCTGCAGGAGTATGGGGTGAGGGGGTCTCTACTCAGGGCCATCCAATCTTTGTACTCCCAAAGCGAGAGCTGTGTCCGGGTCCTCTGCAGTAAGTCGGACCCATTTCAGGTGAGGGTTGGCCTCCGCCAGGGCTGCGCTTTGTCACCAATCCTGTTTGTAATATACATTGATAGGATTTCGAGGCGTAGTCATGGGGGAGGGGGTCTGCAGTTCGGTGGACTAAGGATTGTCTAAGTTCAGTCATCCGGGAGGGACTCGGAGTTGAACGGCTCCTCCTTCGCGTCGAAAGGAGCCAGTTGAGGTGGTTCGGGCACCTAGTAAGTATGCCACCTGGGCGCCTCCCTAGGGAGGTGTTCCAGGCACGTCCAACTGGGAAGAGACCAAGGGGTAGACCTAGGACCAGGTGGAGGGATTATATCTCTTCGCTGGCCTGGGAGCGCCTTGGGATCCCCCAGTCAGAGCTGGTTGATGTGGAAAGTTTGGGGCTCTCTGCTGGAACTGCTACCCCCGCGACCCGACCACGGATAAGCGGGAGAAGATGGATGGATGGAGTTAGAGGATATTATGTGATTCCAGTGACATAACAACATATGCATTGGACAGCAAGTATGCCATGTTAATATCTAAATAAAAATGTAAGATTATACTTTTTAAAGGAATGCAGTTCACTTAAATGATGCTTTGTTGTCCATATGTCCTCAAATAAATAAGCAGCTAGACATCTCGTCTTGCTCTGCAGCCTGTCTCTCTCGCTCTCTCTTTCTCGCTCTGAGCCACTTAACACACCAGCTCAGATCAGATCAGATCCATTCACTCCACTGGGTTTAGAGCCATTAGCTAAATTAGAGACAAGACATTCAATTCACTGTCAGATATGTTGATCCGTTGGCTGCATTTCAAATGTCTACCTTACAGTGCATCCAGCTTCTATACGGTGCAGTTTCTTCCTCCACTAACGGAGCCTGTTCACAGGTTATATCATATACTGACAGCATGAGGGATTCAACTCATTTTGTTGACATGCATGACCAAATTATGTGGCTCGGTTTTGGCTCCCGGATGGCTGTTTAAAAGTCTGTAAAACTGAAAGGAGGTAAGAGTAATGGCTATTGCAATTGTAGGAAATCTCAACTGGGACAAAGTCGAATCTCCGATTAGGAAAGTTGGGAGACCAAATCCAACCTGAAGAACATGTGTTTACTGCGTTGTGCATCAACCAAGTTGAAGTTGTAGTAACAATGTGTTTCTTAACAATTGTCATATTTGTTTCTCATGAAATCTGTGGGTATGTTTTCTGCAGTGTGTATCTGTGGAAAATACCAAGTAAATACGTTTTCCGACTTATTGTACTCTGGAATGTGGTCAACTCAGATGTGCTGCATTCCTAAGTCTGAATTCCAACGTACAAGGTAAATGTATTGCAGTAAAGTTTTATTCCTCCCTGTTAGCTGGAGCATATCATTGTTCAGCTCCTTTTATAAAGTGTGTAACCAACCAGCTCAGCAGAGGCCTCGTAACCCTCAGCACTGCTGCACCACAAGCAATCATTTGGCTGAAGGACTTTGCATTTGCTAAATGAAAGCTATACATCATGCTGTCACGACATGCTGTATAGTAAACACACGTGTCTCTTTTCCTGGACATCCATCTATCACACAGCACTCTAGATAGATGTACAGTATTCATTGTGTGTAAACACTGGAGACATGCAAATACATATATTTACAAAATCAGGTTAACACATAGGCCAAATACACTAGATTCTCATATGCACTGACAACCATAACCATCAGTAAGCACTGCAGTTAACCATTATTTAAGAAATCTTTGCAGCTCTACTGTACATACTGTAAAGAAATGTACAGATCAGATGGTTGATCGTCTAATCCTGAAGACCAGATTACAATATTAACCCTTAAGAGGTCAAAAGAACAACAGATTGCTCTCAAAACAAACACACCCCCTTGACCACCACACACGAAATACTGCCAATATGTACTGTTAACTACCAGAAGGTGGAACCTCTAGATTAGTAGATTAACACCGCTAAAAAATGCGATTATAGTATGATAAATATTGATCATATGCAGAGATGCCAAAAGTAAACACATCCTTTACTCAAGTAGAAGTACAGATACTCGTGTTTAAAAATACTCTGGTAAAAGTAGAAGTACTGACTAAACTTCTTTACTCAAGTAAAAGTAAAGAAGTATGGGCTTCGAAATGTACTTAAGTAAAAAGTACCCATAACTAGCAGCTGTTTTAAAGAGTAACTGACCTCCCTTTATATTAATAGAACAATAATGTCATTGTTAGCTAATGAATGTTTCGATGCTGAACAACGGCAACATGACACATTTTTCATTGGTCCCTCTTGTTTAGAGAAGACCAGGAAATGATGGATACACGGATCATGTTCAAATCAATAGGCACGCAATGACTCTAAATAATAATGATCACGCCACCAAACACAGATTAAAACTAAAGTAACCAGCCTGTTTTGAAAATGTAAGAAGTAGAAAGTACAGGTATTTGTGTTAGAAATGTAAGAAGTAAAAGTAAAAAGTCGTCAGAGAAATTGTGGAGTAAAGTACTGATACCAGAAAAATGTACTTAAGTACAGTAACAATGTATTTGTACTCCACTACTTCCCACTTCTGATCATATGTATTGATGTAATTATAGTCATGATATGGCTTATGATAAGAAATTCCTGATGCATGCAAACTACTTATGAACAGCTCTCTAACTCCAACTTTTACCTCATTTTGGTATTCCCACTGAATCATTTTTCTCTTCCTGTATTTCTGAGGAGTGATGCGAGCTGTTTCTGTCTCTCTCTCTCTCTCTCTCTGTGTGTTCAGTGTGTGGCTGTGATCTGGTGCACTCTGGTTTCTTCCACCACTCCGGAGAGTACATCTGCACTGAGGACTACCAGCGGCTCCATGGGACCCAGTGTGACAGCTGCAGCCAGTACATCACTGGGGAGGTGGTCTCTGCCCTGGGGAGGACGTACCACCCACACTGCTTTGTGTGCAGCATCTGCAGGTAAACAAGTGTGTGTGGAGTCACAACATACTCCTCGTATTCAGAAACATCCTTTTAGTTGCTGTGTGAATTTATTAAGATAAGATAAGATAGTACTTTATTGATCCCAATTTGGGAAATGTTTGTGTTGCAGCAGCACAAAAAGACATGGCATTGTACAATAAAAATTAAAAGACAAGAAATAAACAAGAAAGTAGAAAATATACATGTTGAATTTACAAATGAACAATAACAAGATATAAAGCAAGGTATTATATTTACATAAGTATGTGACGGATGGAATATTACATATTGGTAGACCTAATAAAGGTGGTAAAATACGATATATTGGAAATATAGTTTAGTTGGCGATGATTGTAGAAGGAGTTTTGTATTCCAATGTTTGAATATTTGTAATAATCATTGTATTATTGAGTTTTATCATTTGGGGATTTTCTTGGCAAAGTTTTGCAACTCGTGACTACATCAACAACATCAAATGAGACTCTCGAGCTGTGGCATAATTACTTTGCAAGTCTGTTCACATCTCCATGAATACCAGCGGTGCCCCATTACAATTAAAATGCTCCGATGTACGAGTTCTGCGGGCCACTTAATGTCCGTGTCTGTGTTGGGTTTCAGCGACGAGTGCACACCGAAGCTGCTGCAGAGTCTGGACCGTGGGTGACCGTAAAGAAACGCTCACAGTTAATAAAACTTCTTATAGCTTATTAAAAGTAACAAATCAAATATTAGTGCAGCGCTCCTTTGCCAGGGTTTGTCACAAAGTGCTTTACTGAAAATAAATGGGGACTGCAGTACCATGTTTTAAACACATCATCTACAATGAACCGTTGCTATGTTACTACTTAAAGAGGTTCGTCAGTGATTTAGCATCATAACGTTGTGGTGTTTGTGATTGTATGGACCCTTAAAACACCTTGATTATACACTTGCCACAATGCAACTTGATCGTGTCTTTAATTCGACACAACCTGCCTCTCCATCTTTCAGACTCTACATGAAATTGCCAGGTCTAAATTGTCCTTAGACTTTGGAAAGACATGACATAACTTTAACCGTTTATATAATATATAAAAAAGAACCACATCATTAAAATCAGTGGTAGTAATTAGTAGTAATTGTTTTTTGTGTATCAGAAGAAGCAAACAGTAGATGAAAGATCACATCCAAGAGCAATTGATACAATTTGAATTATAAATAAATGGAATCACTTCATATGGAAGAAACGCTTAGTTATGTTTTAGATGGCTGGTCTCACTTTATTAATTATATATCATGTACATTTAGTTTTGGCTTCAGTTCAGTTCACTCGAAGCTGGAGGGAATATGATAAGTGGCTGGCAGACAAAGTGTGACTGTAAGCAGTACAGTAAATATATAAAGGCTATCAGTCACTCAGTGTGCGAGATGTAAAGATGGATCATTAGGCTTTAGTTTGTTTATAGTGACAGTTTTTGGAGTCATCCCTTGAGTGTGTGTGTAAATAAGAACTGTATATACTGATATTGCAAATGAAGCTCATTCATTTTGAAAATGTCTGTCAGCATATTGCTATAAAATTGTGTCTCTTAAATTAAGTTTTGTCCGTGCATCAACCGAACACACCAACACTTCTCTGATGTGTGCAAGTGTACAACTCTGACCAGAAGAGAGGCATATAATATTATGTAAAGCCGGGCAGTATTGACTTAAGTTATGAAGTTATTGTTATATCTACAGGTATAGCAACATCTGTTTACTTTTAACACAGTTGATGCATCATGGATTGTTATAAAATACCTTGTCTACCTTTTATAGATACATCCCAAGTGTTAAGTATAGCCGATCACCAAAGAAGAAATCTAGAAAAATCTTCAATTATATATGAGAAAATACACCTGCATTAATAAAATGAATTATACCATCAACGATTTGGGAATTGTTAGGTCTTCAAGCGGATTTGCTTTCCAAGTATCTGTTTGCTAAACTTAAGTTCAAGTGTTGAATACCCAAATGTAAAAAAAGGAAGCAAACAAGCAGATCTTTGAGACAAAATGGACATATCTCAAATTCATCAATTTATGTCAAACAAGTATGCAAACATGTGGTCCTGAATGCAGGATGATCATTTATCAGGGTCTTAGTTTGCTTATTTTCTACCAGAAGAGTTTTGGAAATCTCCTGCTGTAGTTGGAAAACATATTTTTGTGTACAATGATAAAAATGTGAGGCTGCATTGCAGGTGCACACCTTTGCCCTCACAGTGTGGCTACAGCTGAACCCTCGGGCTGAAAGGCATTACTGCATGTTTTGATTTATACTTTATTGCATCCTTGTATTAATAATTCAGTCAGGTATGATGAAACCATATTCTCTGTAAACTACAGTGAATGTGCAATGTGTCACCAAATATAAGAAATAATATCAGGTGATGAGGAGATTGTTGTGTGGAACTCAGGGATTAGTTTGAAACTACTGATTTATTTGTTTAGGAAAAAGTCTGAAATATAATCCCCCCCTTCATCCCTGGATATTAAAGGTCTATTGATTTACTATACATTCTTCAGTTGGGAATTACTGTAGAGAAGTAATAAAAGTGGTGCTGTGGGAGAAATTATGATTTCATTAACTTAATTTAAATGTCAAAAGCAGACAAAATGCAATCTTGATTTCATGTCAAACAGCTTCTATTCTGTTCACATCCATTATGTTGGGAATACAAAATCAGTTCCATCCGTCAAAATGTCTGCAAATCAAACTGTTGTATCTTTCTGCACAGATAGATACTCTATCAGTATGGGTGACTTTTTCGTGAATTTGGCAACCTAACCTTAGTATAATTATATCTGCATAGCTCTACTGAAATACTGTGTGTTTCTTTCAGGAGTCCGTTCCCAATTGGAGACAGGGTGACCTTCTGTGGGAAGAAGTGTGTGTGTCAGCAGTGCTCACACACTCTGAAAAGCGACAAGCCCATCAAGGTTCACGGGCCAAGCTGTAAGAAACAAACACACACGCACACACAAATATATGCACACACACAGCCCAATTGACTATAATTATACTGTAAAATCTACTCCTCTGATCCTTGCCAGCAGCCAATTAGATCCCATTTTGAGGCAATGCAGTGTATTCCTACATTGTGGAATAGATGTATTCCTTATCTCAAAGGCTTACTCGCCACCTTTTAATGCATAGGATGGTCTTCACCAGCGAATTAAACGAGCAAAGGTGTAGTTTTTCTTCTCCAACAAATAAGAGAAACTGCTGAAACCGGTAGCCCTCCAGCTTTTAGGTATAAAGTCTTCATTTTTCTTATCGTTTGTCAATAAATCCAATGAAAAGACTGAAAACAACCCAGTTTTTGTCGGTCTCTCTAAACTTTCTAACTTCCTCTCACTGTCTGTGGTCCATAGCCCCTTGTTAGTAAAATAAAATAAACTGGGACAAAAATAAAATTAACTTCAGTCATCATTTTAATAGCAATATAGGAACACATAAGTGCACACAGTGTGGCTCATTGGTCTGTCTTTCTGTCAGGAATAATCAATTGGTTTGTTTTATTTCATTCATGGGGGTTTGAAAAGTATAGCATAGCACCAGTGTTATCCTTTGATATCAGTGTGACATAATTAAGCTCCTTCACCAAAGCTGTGCAACTAACTAAAAAAACCGTGCATGCCTCCTGGTCATTTAGTAACAAGCATCATCTGTTGCAATGATTTTAGGTCTCCTTATATTTATAACAGGCTGAGGGTACAACACAGGTTAATAAACACCAGAAGAGTTTTACTGACCAGCAAATGCTGCAAAACATATCACACACACACACACACACACACACACACACACACACACACACACACACACACACACACACACACACACACACACACACACACACACACACACACACACACACACAGAAGGTGGCCTGCAGCTCCAGGTATTCTTTAGCCTGGTTCTGGTCGCTCCATCTGGCAAAGACAGTTTGACGATGATGACGGGAACGGGGGATGAGGAGGAGAGAAGAAGGAGGAGAGGAGTGATGGGAGGTTGGCAGGGAGACAAGGACAGAGAGGAGGGAGGGGATGTTAATGTTGGAGCTGCTCTTATCTTTATGTGTTTTAATGCTGCATTCCCTCTCTCCTGTAGACTGTGCCGGCTGTGGGGAGGAGATCAAACAGGGACAGTCCCTGCTGGCTCTGGAGAGGCAGTGGCACGTCAGCTGCTTTAAATGCCGAACGTGCGGCTGTCCGCTCACTGGAGAGTACATCAGCAAGTAGGTGGCTTGATCCCCCGTATGTACAGTCTGTACTGTAGCTAATGTTCCAGCCAATATCAAGGATTTCTCAAGCGATCCACGTTCTCCGTTTCATATCTGAAGCTTTGGGACCAATTTGCTTAAAGCAGGTGTTATAATAAACTTGGAGCACTCATATTATGGCAAGTCATGCAGGAAATGTAGATACTTTTTTCCATCAGCAAGTTTTATTTGCTTTTAACTGTAAAGGTCCCCTATTATACTGTTTTTCATCAATATATTACAGGTCTCAGATATATACAAAACATGTCTCTGAAGTGTTTGGCTCAAAATACCAAACAGATCGTGCATTGTAGCATCCCATAATCCCCTCTGTTTCAGCCCTGTTTCAAAAGTGCTGATTCTGGGTCTGTTACTTTAGATGAAAATAAGGTGCCACTCCCCACGCCCCTCTGAGAGATATTTGGTTAAAAAGAACACCATGGTGCTCTAGAGGAGATTCAGGTGATAAGGTGGGGGGGGGTTAACTTGGTTGGTTATTGGCTAATGGTTGTTGGTTAATCGTTATGACATCATAAAGTGTCCAAAATCAGATCAGCTCATTTTCAGACAGGTTTTTATATAAATGGATCAGGACAAAAAGTGAGCCAATCTTTTTTCCTGAAACTCTCAGAATCTCTTTACACAGAGGGGACACGTGTTTATGTATAAAAGACATGAAAAAGTGGATTATGCATAATAGGTCTCCTTTAACAGACACCCACAGTATTTATTTACATGTTCATACTTGGAAGTCACACTGAAAAATCTTTGGTTTTGCTCCAGTTGATTTATGTACCTTGACTCATGTATCACAAAACAATGTGTTACAGGATAGATAATAGTGGAACAGAAGGTAAAATCAAAGTGAGAACATCTTTTTGTTGTCCCTGGCAGAGATGGGATCCCTTACTGTGAGAGTGACTACCACACTCAGTTTGGGATCAGGTGTGACGGCTGTAACCGCTACATCAGCGGCAGAGTTCTTGAGGTGAGTGCATTTTTCATGTGTGCATGCTAAAGATAAATGGGAACAAGATTGAGTATGAGCATATTTTCCCTCTGTGTGACAGAAAGTGTGGGTTTGTATGCAGGCATGTGTGTGTGTCGGTCTATAAAAAGCAGCGAAAAAACGCAGCTGTCCCTCTTTAAAGGAGCGAAGTGTTGACTGATGGAGAAGCAGCTTTGGAAAAACCAACAAAGCAACACTCTCCCATCTCCTCTACCCAATTAATTCCTATTTCTTATCGCGCCTCTCCCCACTCCTCATTCTTTTTCTACATTTCCTATCACCACTTTGTTCTCGTTTCCTCATTTGTGTCATCTGCTCTAGCTGCTCTCTGCCTTATTTATTTCCTCTCACTTTTCCTTTCCCTTCCTTTCCTTCTCCTTCAGGCTGGAGGGAAGCGTTACCACCCCAGCTGTGCCCGGTGTGCTCGCTGTCACACGATGTTCTTGGAAGGAGCGGAAATGTACATCACAGGTGAGGGAGGAGAGGAGAGCCATGAAATTATACTATATGGAACCAAATATATGTCAAATCTATAGAATCGATTATAAGCTTTGTGAATAGATGGCTCTACAAAATTGTTTCAACATATAGCTAACAGGCATAATATGGACTTGTAGCATCTGTTACATCTGCTGAACCCTGCAAGTATACAGAGGCGTGTGTGTGTGTGTGTGTGTGTGTGTGTGTGTGTGTGTGTGTGTGTGTGTGTGTGTGTGTGTGTGTGTGTGTGTGTGTGGTGTGTGTGTGTGTGTGTGTGTGTGTGTGTGTGTGTGTGTGTGTGTGTGTGTGGTGTGTGTGTGTGTGTGTGTGTGTGTGTGTGTGTGTGTGTGTGTGTGTGTGTGTGTGTGTGTGTGTGTGTGTGTGTGTGTGTGTGTGTGTGTGCTGGTCGGCTGGTCAGAGCACCGTTATATAGCTTATTGATCTCACATATAGCACTCTCGACCGCACTCACTGGTAAAAAAACACAGACACACACACACACACACACACAAATGCACACTCACACGCGCCTTCTCCCAACTCATGTTTTCTGTGTACACACAAAGGTTGGAGTCAATTACCTCTCAACCCTCGCCTCCTCTCTGTCCATTACTCTGCTGCTGACACAATTAATCTGAATGAAACGCCTTCACCGGAGGTTTAAATTTAATCAACTAGGAGCTTCTGTTTTACAAATGAGATAATAGTAATTAAAGTTAATAAGCTCAATCATGCATTAAAACAGGTTTATATGAGGACGCTGGCAAACCCTTTTGACCGTGTGGGACAACTTGAATTTGTATGCCTTTTGCTTCATATTTTTTTTTATCAACCAACCAAATGTCCTACAAATTACTATGATAAGCACCTGATTTAAATTAGCAATTATTTTGAGGAGGAAACGAGCCGCAAAGTTGGCCATAATATTGATATGAAGCTAAATGCAATTCGCTGAAATGATTAATTGACAACAGGAAGGACATTTTATAATTTCTCCATAGTCTATGCCTGGCCTTCATTTGAACCACATATTAAACACAGATTGAATTAATATACTTTATACTGTAGGAATCACAATGTAAATATTTAGCAGTGAGTTTAAATGTTAGCATGTCCTGATATGTTGAAGAAAGCGGCAGCATTTTCTGGCAAACATGATGTTAATGCAAATCAGCTCAACATACTGTAGGAGATATGGTTGTGTACACAGGCGACATATGAATATAAAAGCCATGCAATTATATACTGCACAAACATTCCTTCAAGATAACGGTGAAAGGGAAAAAGGAATTAAAAAACACACACACACACACACACACACACACACACACACACACACACACACACACACACACACACACACTTTAGCCTGGCCGAGGTGAGATTAAATGTAGAGCAACTGTACCGTAACATGTGGCGGACACACAAGTTGACATCTCCTTCTTCACCTCATTGACATTCTGCTGCTCACCCGCTCACAGCCACCAGTAAAACTAAGCATTTGCATATTGTACCGGAAGTGTGTGTGTGTGTGTGTGTGTGTGTGTTTGCATATTTATCTATGCCTGTAACTACATGCAAGCGTCTTTTTTTCCTTGTGTTCCTTGTATCCGCTTAAAAGCAAGTTTTGCACCACAGTGTGTCTGCATATGAATGCGTGTGTGTGTGTGTGTGTGTGTGTGTGTGTGTGTGTGTGTGTGTGTGTGTGTGTGTGTGTGTGTGTGTGTGTGTGTGTGTGTGTGTGTGTGTGTGTGTGTGTGTGTGTGTGTGTGTGTGTGTGTGTGTGTGTGTGTGTGTGTGTGTGTGTGTGTGTGTGTGTGTGTGTGTGTGTGTGTGTGTGTGTGTGTGTGTGTGTGTGCGCTGCCCCAAGGTTACATTCACTCCTTTTGATGACTTCAGACATGTAGGAGGGCTGAGCAATCACCCTCATGAGACCACACTCAATTACGACACACACACATGCTCGCACACCTGCAATCAATCTCATGATGCATGTCTAGAATACGAAGTGGTGTGTGTGTGTGTGTTGAAGGTGTGGTATGGAAAACTATTTAACAAACAAATTGGGAATGTTGATTCTTTTTAAATGAATAGACGGATGGACGTAGTAAGTTAATTAACTCCCTGAATTTCCTTCTCACTATTCAACATTTTTCAAACATATCTTAGGTGTTACTAAACGTCATCATTTCAGAAGACTTCCACTGTTTTTCAAATCTTTTTCTATGATTTTGGTTCTAAATAAATACAGAACATTGAAAAACAATCACATCTTCCTATCTAAGAAGGTTTAACTATACCTCTTTAGTTCATTTTCTTTCAGTGACGAATAAATAATTAATAAGCTAATGGTTTAAGGCCAAGTCAGGTTTATATACAGTCGAGCCTCTTGAGAAAAAGAGCCAGTGCTCCTGCCAATCTGACATATTTCAAGCTGTTAAAACGACAGTATTGATCCTAAATAGTTAAGAGAATTTATTGGGCGCTTCCAATAATTTAACAATTGTGTTTCGATTTTTTCTCAGAAGACATTTTTTTTTTTTTTTTGCCACAGTTGACTGATCAGTGGGGCCAAACCTTTATATATACAGTCTATGGGCCAAACAGAATATGTTTGTTTGGGGAAATCAAATGTGTTGCCTTAAAAAGGGTTAGGGTTAGGGTGGTGCAGTGGGTTGTGTGTTGGCGTTCGGATCAGGGGGTTACAGGTTCAAACCCCACTGCAGTCAGCATGTCGTTGTGTCCCTGGGCAAGACACTTCACCCCAAATTGCTCCTGTGGGGATTGCCCACAATATTGAGTATGTACTGTAAGTCGCTTTGGATAAAAGCGTCTAACAAGTGACATGTAATGTAATGTAATGTAAAAAGAAATGCTCCCATCTCCATGTAGTAGCTAGAGTTAATACACCTTTTCTGCTTTTCTTATTCTCTCAATAAATGCTAAAGTGAACAGACATATGGAAGGTAAAGGAAAATGAATATATAAAAGAACAGTTTCTCATGGCGACACGATTCAGCAAAAAGCAAAACTCCCGAGGCCATTTGAATATCTGCTGCTTTATAACATTAGAATTTCAAATGACACAAGCACAAATGTCGGTACCACTTTACAATAAGGCTACCCTTATAAAGGGTTTACGAATAGTTTGTAATTCATTTATTAATCATGTTGTGAACACTTTATAAATCATGAATGAGTTTTTATAAGACATGAGATAAACAGGGTAACTGTGACCGGTTGCTTGCCAAATAGTGAGCCCACATTTATCTGTACTGCTAAACCTTATTAGAAATGGTAGTAACTCATTTATAAATGGTGATTTGTTCAAGGTTCAAGGTTCTTTATTTGTCATACGAACATAGCTACAGAGTAGTTATGTCGATGAAAATCTTAGGTCACAGGCTTCTCCAACAGTGCAACACAATAATACAGATAAACAGAAAAATATAGTGCAAGTAAATATTAAAAAGTAAATACAAAAAGAAAAATCAATAAGGCTCCCTTTTGGCAGTTATAAATGTTAGTAACTCATAAATAAATGGTCATAAAGAGATGCCAAGAAACATCAAGATGGAAGGGGGGGAATCAACTCAGTGAACAACAGATACCAAGGATGCTGGCTGATGAAGAAGACGAAGTAAGCTAGGTAGCCAATATAAGGCTTAGTCATCTTGCCAAATAGTGCGCCTTTGTTGATGTATGAAAACTATGTTAGAACTGGTTTATAAATGGTTCTTAATGATTTATAAAGTGTTTACAACCTAATTAATAACCTAATTATAAACCCTTTATGAATCCTTTATAAGGGTAGTCTTATTGTAAAGTGGTACCCAAATGTCAATATCACTTCCCTAGATCTCTCTGACTGCCTTCATTCGCTCTTTTGAGTATCACCAGTCAACATAAAGAGGCTTGTTTTGTTCCCTGATAAACCACATTTTGGATAAAGTCGAGAAAAGAGTAGAAATAAAGCTCTGCCCAAACACACCTAAGGCTTTGCTCCTAATTGAAAAGACAGAGAAGTAGGTTTCATTTGAGTTATCATTTTGTGACAAATTTCCGGCAGCTAATTCTCCCAGAAGTGATGTGCAGCGCCATTGTTTTGGATTGAATCCCTTTCCCTCTGCAGCATTTAGATTCTCCTCAGCCGGGAGATAAAGGACCCCGAGTCCAAGGCCATACTGTACATCTGTTCGGCAGCAGGGTTGAGGAGAGTGGGTGGGACGGGGGTGCACTGAATCACCACGCATGGTTTCTGTCTACAGTATTGATTTTGTGTGTGAGAGTGTGTGGTGGTTGTTGCCTGTGTGTGTGTTGTCTCCGTGTGTCTGTGCGTGGTAGTGTGTGTGCAGTTCAGATTAATGGTGTTGATAGTGTAGTTGTATATTAGAGTCATGATCATCTAACGGAGTCCATTCGGTAACTGCATTGCCTAAAGGCCTGAGAAAATGATAGTGCGTGTGTGTGTACAGAGCGGATGTATTACTGTCATTATTACCATCATATCACATCCTGACATAGTGGTTTGTTGTTATGAAAACGATGTCAAAGCCTCCATTCATCCACAATTCATCCTTTTTGTCTACAGTCAAGTTGCTTTTCTCCATTCAAAAGTATTTTAAGCATGACTTTTAAAGCACATTGATGTCAAAGAAGTGGATATGTTTAGCATATATGAATGCAAGGAGAATATGGAATAGATGTGCAATTTGGCCCGATTGATGAGATAATAAAAAAGTGAGATGGCTAACTCGTCAGATACTTCTATTGGCATTCATTGTCTGTACATATATATTTGTTGATGTTTTAATAAGTGTTTAACCTGAGCTAGTCAGTACAACAATGATAGCAATCATATCACAGCCTTACATGGTTACTCTACAGTATACAGCTATTAATAACAGTATTATGTTTTTTGGTTTGTTTAAAAGCACTTCATTTGAATCTGTAATCTGTATCAGGTGATGCGCACGTTCATCTACTGGAATGGGTATATAGAAGTAAAAATAAACATCATTATATGACAATCCCTCTGATAGTCGAGATATTTGAGGACAAAGTGGTAGTTCATCATTGACATTGCTATCGCTTAGTTGAACCACACTGCTAGCATGTTTAAAATCTGTTCCTCTCTCTCTCTCTCTCTCTCTCTCTCTCTCTCTCTCTCTCTCTCTCTCTCTCTCTCTCTCTCTCTCTCTCTCTCTGTCTTCCTCCTTTGTTTGTGACATGAAGGCATACATCCTTTGTCCTCAGACCAGACTGCCTCCACTGTGTGTGTGTGTGTGTGTGTGTGTGTGTGTGTGTGTGTGTGTGTGTGTGTGTGTGTGTGTGTGTGTGTGTGTGTGTGTGTGTGTGTGTGTGTGTGTGTGTGATTTATGTCCATGCACTTGAGAAAGGCTGATCTACTCTTTATAGGATCCCATAAAACTGTATGGCTGCTGCTGCCCACACACAGTAAACCAGGTAGTTTGTTTTTGTGTTTGTGTGCAGGTTCAGAGGTTTGGCACCCCATGTGTAAAGAAGCTGCTCGACTGGAGAGGAAACTGAGGGTGAGCAATACTCAAAATACCCACAAGTCCCTGCCATGTCTCTCTATTTATGTTTCTGTCATCTCTTTGTGTTTCTCTTTGGCTCTCTGGGTCAGACATTTGTTATTCTTTGTTTCCAAACTAGTTTGTTTTATGAGAAGCTAAAAACTTGTGGTATGTAGTTAACATGGGTGTTTTTATAATGGACAAACTTTAATGATAGTGTCTTGAAAATCTAGAGTTAATGGCTTTTTTTCAGGTTTATTATAATTATATATTTTTTTATATTACACCAGTTGTTAATTTAATCTAAATATACTGTATCGTAAAAGTATGGTTCCACATTGTAAGAACACAAGTAAAGATAACTTTCTCAATTTGTAATCATCCATGATAAAGATTATCACTTTTATGGGAGCAAGAGAAAGTATTGTTACTATCATCATTAATATGTTACCTTGAGTATGTAATAACATGTCTTTTGTATATTTGAGCTAACTTCCCTCTCCCACCTGTCCCACCAGCTGAGGCGCACCTCGGAGACGGTGTCCATCTCTTCTCCGGGTTCCTCTCCTCTCCTCGGCTCCCCTCACCGGCTCATCTGTGTGAGTACCGTCGTCGCCATGGTTACGCCATCAATGCTATGGTTACGCCCTCAGCTGTCACTGTCACTGCCGTCAATCAAAATCCAACCAACAGCGACAGAAGCACAAAGAGTCGCTGACAGCTCTCTCTGCCAACACTATCTGTCTCCATGCAGACTCCCTGCTCTCTCCCCGGCTTTATTCTGTCTGCAGCAACGTAGAGCCATCATTATGTGTCTAAAGTCAATTTAAGACCCGTATTTTCATTTTCTATTACCTAATTTATAGTAGATTGGTCTTAAGTTGTTTGTAAATTGTCATTTATCAAGGCTTTAGGTATTTTAATGTCACATACTCACTAGTTTATTTTTGTCTACTCTGTCTTTGTAAGTTTTAACTGTTTGTTCACACCTCTCTGTATCCTTCTGTTTCTTTTACTTCATGTCTGTGTATGTGTGCATTTATTTTCCTAAATTTCTATTTACGCCCAATGTTCTACTTCTTTTCCATGTCCTCTCTCTCCCTCTCTTGCAGTCCAAAGGCGACGGTGAAGTGTTGGACTATAAGCAGCTGGCGGCTCTGCCCCGGGTCAAAGCCATCTATGACAACCAGAGGCCTGACATCATCCCTTATCAGGCGGACCATGCACACACACACAACTCTGATGACACTTTGGAGAGATACAGCTGCGTACAGGTACACACACACATGCCCACAATCAATCATGAAGTTACCGCATCATTTTTTTATTTTAAAACTGACTTTTTGTTTAATAATTCATTTGAAGACAATATACATTTTTTTTGTTTTTCTCATCCAGTCATTGGGCTCCTTATCAGCATACTCTCATGTAAGTACTCCATCCACCTCATGTCACCTCACATATACATTATTTCAGTGAGTTCTGCAGAGGAAAGTAAACAAATTATACATTTTGGAAAGAGAAAGCTCAGTTGTCACGTTGGCAAATAATGATTCTAATGATGGCTGCCTAGAAGGTAGGCAAAACATCTCAAAACTGACAGATAAACTACAACTTGTTATATTCAAACATAGCTGTTTTGGTGCAGATCATTCTAAGTTTTAGTGTTAATGAAGCTGCTCAAGCCTTCTATTTAGCGCGTATCAATCCTATCCATATTCTGCCACAAAAAGTAAGTAATCATATTTCCCAAAATGACAAACTACCTCATTCAAATTGTGGTTACTTTGCAGTTAAAAGGCCTATAAAAGCCTTAAAAACTGTGTACTCTGCCATCTTGTGTAGTATCATTTGCTGCGTTTAGTAGACCGAACACATTACTCTAAGGCAGCCTTTCTCTATCTCTCTCTCTCCAGGATCTCTTGGACGGCGTTGAGCTGAGGACGAGGCGTTCCAGCTCCACCTTCACTGACTCTCCCTCACACAGCCGCCACGGAGGCTCCCCCCTGCATTACTATCTCCCCGGTAATGTGCCCACTCAAGCATATACATGCAACACACACACACAGACACACACATATGTACACAGAAAACAGGAAGTCCCTAACTGGAAAGATGTTCGAGCTCTTTGAGTGGGTGTCATGTCTTGTTCAAAAGCATCCCCTGTCACACACACACACACACACACACACACACACACACACACACACACACACACACACACACACACACACACACACACACACACACACACACACACACACACACACACACACACACACACGTATAATTCATCAGTGTGTTCGGGCCATTCTGTTGCTCATGCTTTGGTTTCTCTCACTGTGATTGGCTGCACTGGCTGCAGGCAGTGAGAGTGGCAGGAGTTCACCTTATTACAGTCAGCCCAGGTGTTCCTCACCCACCACCACCTCCTTCCAAGCCCCAAAGCATTTCCATGTGCCAGGTAGGCCGTCATCTGCAAAGCTGACCCCTGACCTGTTGACTAACCTGAAGTTACCAATATCAGATTGTAACCTCACCCACCCTCAAATAGAGTTTAGACTCGATCTAACCATTAAAGGGGCCCTATTATGCACATTTCAGGTTCACATTTGTATTTCATGTCCTCTACTTTGACATTTTTACTTGCTTTAATTTCAAAAAGCTCTTTATTTTTCTCATACTGCCTGTGCTGCAGCACCTCTTTTCACCCTCAGTCTGAAACCAGAGCCCAGTCTGCTCTGATTGGTTAGCTGGCCGGCTCTGTTCTGATTGGTCAAAGGCTAAGAGATGTCCCGCCCCTAAGCCTATCACGTATAATGTGTTGGAGCGCTAGTCAAAAGTAGCGCGACACAGTGATGTCATTATGTTAAGGAAGTAAACAAAGGACTACTATCACGGTGTTTCAGGCAGGGGGGGAGCTGATGGGAAATACACTTTTTTCAGACAATTTACATGCATGAAAATCTATATAACACACTACAGGAAAGAGAAAACCCCAATAAGCATAATAGGGCCTCTTTAATCATCACAAGTATTTATATTTAGCTAGAACCCTGACCCTGACCCCAGAACCAGAGTATAGCTCTCCTAACCCACACAATCTCATTCCTTAGTGACCTGTTGTCATTTGAAATAACTATCAGCATAATTACAAGTACTGAAGTCAGTTGTTGACAGAAAATGTATTTATATACATTTATTTTGATAGGATTTTCCATTTTTTTCCATTTTAAATGATTGGCAATATCTTTGGGTTTTGAATGAGTGAAACAAAAACAACATTAAGACTCTACTTTGGGCTGTTTGGAACTGTGGCTGGAATTTTTCACTTTTTAGTTTATATTTCATAGATCATCGCTCCATAAAACTGTACAGTAGTTATTTTGTTTTACTCCAGCAGGGATCCTTTGTCTGATTTATCTTACTGATCTGCAGCTCTTGTATAACATATGAGCGCTTTAATCTAACAACTAATACCAGATCATTTGATTTAAACACTCCCATCAACCGTCCATTTTATCAACTTAATGCCTCTCAACTCCCTGAACGTTTCAATCTGTCTTTGTTCCCTTCACTTTGAAAGGCCTTTGCTTTTCACTGCAAGCTGTGCATTTGGTTTCCCTCCATCATTCCCTCCTTCCTTTTCCATTTCTCACTGAATGTCCCCTCTCTGGTTTTTCCAAGGCTGTTATTCCTTGCCAGCCCCTGCGATAGCACTCCCTTCATGCTTTTCAACACGGAGCGAAATGTATTTGGTGGATGCTTTTATCCAAAGTGCTTTGCGGTATGACAAGGGCATACAAATGTAGCTCTGATGGCCCACTGGGAGTCAAACCTCTAACTTTGGAAGCTTTAGTGGTACACTGTGCAGAATTTGGAAGTATTTATAATGTTTTCTTATTTTAGTTGTTCTTATATTGCAGTAATGTGTAGTAGTGCTTATCCAGCACTCAAAACCACCATTAAAACACAATTATCCCCCAAATACGAGCTACAAGGTACTACTGTACATGCTCCTGTCATTTCTGATTCTTTCTCTCTCCTCCACTTTATCTTTTCCATCCGGCCCTTTATCCACCCTTCAACTGCTCTCCTCCCTCTTCTTTATTCCTGTGCCATCTGCTGCTCTATCCAGTAATAAGCCTGAATCTGTATTAATCAGCCTCTCCGCACGTCAATCAGGTTGTCTGGATGCACGGCCGTATCTCCGCCATGGCAGTTTATTACCCGCGCTGTCAGATTTACGGTTAAATGTACACCATTTAATTGGTGGGACAGTATGAGTAAGGAAATACAGACTCCTCTCCTCTTCTTCCTCTTTTCCTCTTCTCTTCCTCCTCTACTCTTCCCTTCTTTCCACGCTCATCCTCTCGTTGTTTCTGTCCTTAGATTCTGAGGACACCAACATCTACAGGAAACCCCCCATCTATAAAAGAAAAGGTTGGTGTATTCCTCACAATCTCGTCTTCTTTATAGCTTGTGTTAGGCTGTCTACCTGTCAGCCGGTTGGATGTAAAAGCATTCTCACTATGACACATGCTTCTGTTTGTCTCACTTAATGAATCCGTTAGATAAAAGATCTGTCCAACATCTGGTGCTTCTGATGACATGCCATTCTCCTCTACAACTCCTCTCAAAATACAAACAGACAGAGGAAGCTAAAGCATTTATTTTGCAATCCTGCACAGGCTGCAGCCAAATGTTTTCTCAAATAATGCTCTTTGGTTGATTATTCATTGTCTAGCCCTGGGTTGTAGGGTTTATAGGCTCTAACTCTTGCCCAATATTTTGATTTGAAGTTGGAAGAAAACAAAAAATATAAAATATCCTTAGATAATTCCATTTTGATTTACCTTAATTGAATTACATTTGCTTCAATTACATTCGTTGTTTTTGCTACAAAAGGTTTTACTTAGTACAGAGACATTTCTTCTTTGTGAAAACATTATTTTTACTGTCTAATTGGCGAACTGAAACAATAAGTACGAATTAAACTGTCCACCTGACACTGATCGGATTCACGAGTCACCTTTTTATTAAAGTGAATGTATACAGGAACTGTAAGTAAAGACACCTCAAAATCAAGTTGCTTAAACATAAATTAAACTTAAACACAGATCTTCATAGCAGCCCTTATAATTATCTTATTAAGGGGAGTGGCTATCTGCCAAGATGTGACCGATCCATATTCAATGTCATAAGTGTTTCTCCTACATTACATTCACAGTGGGCCACCTGCTTAGCATTACAATCCCTGGCCTTACAGTATGTTACCTTAAAAATACAAAACTGGTTAGAAGAATACATTTGTAAAACAAGAATACTGCATTAGTTACAGAATAGATCAAGGCGGATTGTAGTATTCCCATCACATCACAACCATCATTATTTATTGGAGTCTAAATATGTGTGCGATAATAATGTTACTGTCAGCTGACCTGGCTAAAACCAAACAAAAAATAGCTCTGATGGTGGGTAGACGTGGCCACATCAGAGATGAAACTACAGTTTTAATCTGCGATTCAAAAGGTGATGTAAAACTAAGAGAAGCAATGCCAAACATTTAGAGTGTGTGGGTGATCCATCAGCGCTCAGATGGCAGGTCGGACAGACTTACAGCGCCCCAGAAACAAAATGCTGACAAGCCTCTCTCTTCCGTCTGAGCAGGCAATCTGTGATCTGGGCTCTGTGGATGAATTTTGGTTTACAGCACAAATCATTTATAGAGCAGTTTTCATATTAAGGCAAAGTGCCATAATCAGGTTTATACGATATATACTTAGTGCCATAATGTATGTCAAAGTCAAACCTGGCTGCAGCTCAAATATAAAAGCAAGCGTCCTAATAGCAGATGTAGCCATCAAATGATTACAACTGAACGTTTTATGGTTTTCTTTAAGTGCCTTTTAATGCTTCTTATAATATGTTAGGTGTTTAGATATTACCAGGTTCAGGGTGTCAATGTTTCCCTCAGCCAAAAAATATCCTGCATGAAAGTCCCATTTAAACAAGGAAAGATCACCTCATAATCCCTTTCTGAATACAAAAACACACAAACAGGAGACATATTGCTATTTGTTGTGTGTGTCCAGTGTAAGATCTGATGGTCCAAAGATTAAAGGACACATTCATGTATTCACAGCATCAGTAGAAATACGACCTTTCTTATATGTCACCCTCACGCTCTTTCCCCCATCTTAACAAAAGCCACAATTTCCTTGAAGATATTGCATCCTTTCATCCTCACAAGGAAAACATCAACCTTAACAACTTTGCATGCTTACTGGAAGTTTTGCATCATATCCCATCTCATCATCTCTGACCTCCTTCTCTGTTCCCTTGCTTTTGATGCCTTCTCCTCCTCCCTTCCTCCCCCCTGCTGTGCCCCCCCCCCCCCTCTCTGTGAGTAAATGCACTACTTTGTCCGTCTTGTTTCTCCTGCATGCACACACACAAAGAAAAGACACAAAACCTCAGTTAGACCAACAACTAGCAAAACAAATAATCCAGTAAAGCAGAACATTTGTTAACTTCCTTGCATCATGGTTGACTTTTCCTTTCTCAATGCTGTGTTTTTTATTTGAAGCATGTCAATTAAAACTTCCATTTTTCCCCATTAACTGTGGGGTTTCTTTGGAAGTTCTTTCTTGTCCGATGTGAGGGTCCAAGGACAGAGGGTATTCATATTCTGTACAAACTGTAAAGTCTACTGAGACAAATGTAACATTTGTGATATTGGGCTATATAAATAAACATTGATTGATTGATTGATTGAAATTAGCTAGCAATGCTTGGGTGAAAAAGGTTTTGTGATCTCACAAATTGTGTTGAGGATTTCTTGTTTATTCCTTCTCCCTCAGACATATCTGCCTCTCCGACAGTCTTTAAGAGTAAGACCAATGAGAACCTCCTCAATTCCAGTCGCCTTTCCACCTCCAACTGCAGCAGCATTTATCACCCGGACTCCAACTACTACCCATATACCGGCTCTCCAAAAGGTTAGGCTTCCTCCTGTTCTAAATAAAAACACATTTCTGCTAACAGACATGCTTAGAAACCTCTATTTACTCTTTTACCTCCCATCTCTCTCTGACTTTAATTTCCTCCATTTCTCTCCAGTCTCCAGGGTGAGGAGGTTTTCTGCCGGAGGAGAAGAGGATGGATGGAATCAAAATATTAACAAGGTAAAAGAAGATTCTCCTGCTTCTCCCTTTTATATTTAAACTGTTAATATTTAATGAGCTAGGTAATTAAATGCCACTTTCCAACCTCACCAGTGGACATGATGCTGCTCCTCTCTCCTTCTTTCTCCTTCCCTCTATCCATCCAAACAACAACCATCGCCTTTCCCCATCTCCTCCTGCTCTATTCCATCACCATATATCGACCCCTGCATCCATCCCACTTAACCACCTCTTATTGCTCCATCTATCCGTCCATTTTCCCACCTTCTTTTCTGGCCCCTTTATTTAACTCATCCTTCTATTCCTCATTTTTCCTCCCTGCAGGGAATTGGCAGGATGATCCTGAAGGAGGAGATGAAAGCGCAGTCCGGTCGTCACGACAATGACCAATGGAGCAGCAGGCGCAGTTCCCGCTGTAGCAGCAAGGAGGCGCTGAACAACCTCGCCTACAGCTCTCTCAACGGCTGTAAGTGTGTGTGTGTGTGTGTGTGTGTGTGTGTGTGTGTGTGTGTGTGTGTGTGTGTGTGTGTGTGTGTGTGTGTGTGTGTGTGTGTGTGTGTGTGTGTGTGTGTGTGTGTGTGTGTGTGTGTGTGTGTGTGTGTGTGTGTGTGTGTGTGTGTGTGTGTGTGTGTGTGTGTGTGTGTGTGTGTGTGTGTGTGTGTGTGTGTGTGTGTGTGTGTGTGTGTGTGTGTGTGTGTGTGTGTGTGTGTGTGTGGTGTATTTGGTCACTTCTTTAAATCTGAGAGAAAGTGCTGCTTTTGTATATTTACCTACATGTTGTATACTTGACGTCTATTTGTGGCTAATTAGCGCCAATAACAAAATACTGTTGAGGCTTTTGAGTGTTTAGATATGAATTTAAGTATTTGCAAACCCTAAAGTTTCCCTGTTGATGGCACTAAATAAAAAGCAGAGGGATCGACAAAGTTATTACAATTAATCTGGACATGTGTTTACCAAATATCAAGGCCATCGATCCAACACTTCAATACCTTGCATACAAAACGTTATCAAAACCTTATTCCTGGGGCTACAGGAAGAATTAGGCAGTCATCAAAGTAACCAGGTGTATCCACTGGGAACCATGAATGTTTTTCGAAACAAGCCAAAACTGATTTAAAGCATCATTGTAAACTCTGCTTTTAAAAGTAGTTAATAAAGTAAATGCAGATATGATCCTTTAAGGTTGTTTGAGGTTCGAGACTGTGTTTAGGTTCACAGCTAAATATTTAATCTGGTTCAGTCAGGTTAATGGTGATGATCAGCCTGCGTTTGTAAAAGTTTGAGATTAGGACATTTATGTTTTCACCATTTTCCTCGAGCAGTAATCTATATTAGTTCTCTTATTGTTCCCAGAGACAAAAAAGGAGAGACTCAGAGAGAGAAAGAGGGAGCGTGTGTAGGTGGAGGTCAAATGGGAATAAAAAAGAGAGTGTTAACAGGAGAGAGAAGGAAAGAGCGAACGAGATTGAGAGTGAATTTTATTCAAAAGAGTGTCGGAGTGAGAAGCTACTGTAGAGCAATTTAGAGCCGTTCAAAGAAGATGTATGACATGAAGCTCCGAGCTAAATCAGGGTCAGAGAGCGGTGTGGAGAGAGAGAGAGGGAAATGAGCTCTGTGCACAGTGAGGTCAGACAGAGAGGTGTGGATAATGTGTGTGTTCACTGCTGTGTAATCACTCTGGGTTTATAGTGTCTGCTGTTATTACACTGATGAGAAAAATACTGAGAGGTGTTTGCTCATCTATTCTTCAGAGGAGGTTCATTTCTAAATGGGATGCCCACAGTTGGATAGAAGCAACACGAACTCCTACTAAATAATGGATTGAATGAATTTGCTCCATTCTAGGGATGGTGATAGCAATGTCAGTCAGTTGGGCCACCACTTCAGTACAGAGAGGAATAACTGATACCATTAGATGAATTGCAATAAAAACGTTCATGGTCCCCTGAGGATAAATTCAAATCACTTTTGGGAATCAATGGGAGTTTAAAGTTTTTTTACTTACATTTGATAATAGCTTAACATCTACGAAACGGATTGGAACACTTTTAATCAGGCATTTATGGTCCCTAATCGGATGAACCCTAATTACTTTTTGGATCCCGTGACTTTTCCTCTAGTGCTTTCATGAGGTTCACCTCTGTCGTTATAATTGAAAAATCTCAATAATTGCCATGACACTTGATACACACGTTCATGTTCCCCTCAGGATGAATTATAATGACTTCCATCTATTGACTGGTCAACATTTCAGTGTTCAACACTTTGGTTTATAACAAAATAGCTGTCAAATTAATTACATTGCCCTCAGCTGTGTTTTATATTTAGCGCTAAATGGCTATTGTTAGCATGCTAACACGCTAATCCAAGATGGTGAACATTGCACCTGCTCCACATCAGTGTGTCAGCAATTTACTGCAAAGCACCACTGTGCCTCAGTTCAACCCCTCAGAGCTTTATCATATCATTAGTTTTTTCACTTATCAATTAATATAATAAAAAGATAAATGTTATATTTCTATTTTAGTATTCCGGCATCTCTGTTTGTAATTATAATCTGCTGCATTTTAAGATAATTATTTCTCAAAGTGTGGTGGTTGGTTGCTGTAAACATATGCGTTTTTAACGTGCGGCTCGATGCTTCATGAATGTGCCCATGCTGCTTCATATTTAATATGATGTGTAGGTCGCGATAGTGACTTGTCGGCATGTTGATGCTGTCAGGGGCATATCTTCACACAGCTGATGTTTTATCGATGTCCCACAACAGCTGGCCTTTTTTATTTCCCTTCCACTAAAAGCTGCCCTCTCATTTCTGTTTGTCCTCTTACTATGACAGCTTTATAATCTCATGTAGTAACTTCACTTCCATAAGAGCTTCTAAACCAGTATTCAGGAACAGGTTATATCTGCTAATGCTTCTTTGATAATTGATTAGGACTATAAAGTTTTGACTTATGATGCAACAGAGGTTGTATTTCCGAGGTGTATCTGTCATGAAATAATGAAGTGTCCCTTGTTCCTTTTCTTCTTCTTTTCTTTCCTCACTGTTTCTATATTCTCAGCTCCCAAGTCCGTCTACAGTTTAGACAGCGGTGAGTGTGAGAGTGGTTCATTAGTGTGTTTCTGATATCGTATCTCTGAGGTCATCTCAAGGCGACGGCTCCACCATGGGCTATCTTCCCTCTGATCCTCTCCGTCCTAACTGTTCTGCAGCTCAGCTTTAAATCCGATTGTTATCAACTCTCACACACTCACACACACACACACGCACGCACACACACACGCACACACGCACACACACACACACACACACACACGCACACACGCACACACACCACACACACACACACACACACACACAGACACACGCACACACACACTTTATTTAGGGTTACAGGTGGGAATGTCTCTGTAGCTTAGGTCCGTGTTTAGCAGCTTTTCTTCAGCAGCAGGCACTGATCCAGGATCACTGACCTGAACCCCTCGGCCATCTGTTTGTCAAGCCACAGTGACACAGGACACTTTTGATTGTAAAGATAGACAAGTCCTATGAAATCACTTTATTTATCAAATGTGTGTTGTGTTTTTTTTATTAAGATCTCTTTCACCTAATCACTTGCATGAAATGTACCTACCTATACCTACCTACCTATATACATTGATACAATTGTTTCTCTGGTTAACATAATTAACATCAAGCTAAACTGTGACAGACATTTTCTACTTCCCTGAAGAAAGAAATGCATAGCCCTCAACATGAGTCAATTATGCAATACTTCAGATTTTGTATTAATACTTTTTAGTACCCAACACGTTAGCAGCATTTCTGATTGGTCAGCAGCATTGTAACATTGCAAAAAGAAAATTGAGAGTGCAACTTTGTACAAAAGTTTCAATCTAATTATTTAGAATAAAAAGTGTAAATGACTTGACTTATTGGTCAATGAAGCCTTTGCCTTAATGACCGTTGTTGAAAGATATAAATATTGAAAGATATCAGACCAACATCAATAAAGAGTCCTAACTCAATAACATCCCAACTTGGCTTCAAATATGTTTTTGGACATCATAGAGACACATTTTCTGTTCATGCACAGGGTCATATCATGCCAGGATCCTGCCATTAGAATAGAATAACTGATCAAAATGATTAAACAAATTGCTCCAAAACCTTAAGAGCAATGATTAAAATGGCAGCTGAGACTATAGACCAGAACTTGTGCTATAAAGACATTAAAACTTGCTACGGCAATTTGTTTTCACACTGTTTGGCATCAGGGCACAAACATATTTCTGAGACACGCCGTGACTTATCTATTCAACTGTATCTCATTTTTTTGTTGAAAGAGTGTTGTTGAAGGAAAACCCATTATAATTTTAGCGTCACACACACACTCACACAGCTCTACACACCAATAGTTTTGACTGCATCAGGGTGTTTTGTCTCGGCTCTTTGACATCGCTGTGTCATTTAATTCCATTGAACAACTGCAGTGAACAAGAGAGAGAAAGACAGGAAGAAGAGAATGAGGGAGGAAGGGGAAGATGAAGGAAGAGGGAATAGTGAAACAAAGATGTGAAAGTAGAAGTGAGAGAAACTGAAGAATGACTTGAGCGGATTAGTGTGACTCCACTGCCATCTGCTGCCTCACTGCATTAGTGCACAACACAAATACAGGACGCTTGGATGCTGCTGGTTACCAACGGTTACAGGAGAGATGCTACCATGCTGCAGGCGTGACAACAAAAGGAAATGCATATTTAAAAAAGATTCATGAAATCAGAGTTTTGGTAGGGTGTTCTTGTTCAAATATAAAATGGTGAAGAGAACAATATCTCATTCTATTTTATTTATTTCTATTAAAGGTGGGGTATGTAATTTATTTTAGAAACACTTTTTGTTATATTCCATGGAATGCTCTTAACATCCCGATAGCAATGAATATATTAAATGCTTTGACAATAAATACATAAAAAAATGTAATCTGTGGAAGCCGTGGCGCTGTAAAAAGCACGACCAATCATCTGAGCCGGCCCGGCTAAAATAACTGGATGGCCTACCTGCCTGTCAGCCTTCCATCTGTGCACAAACTTATCTCGTGCCCTCATTGGTCATGTGCGCGTTCGTGTGTGTTGGAGGAGGGGCTCTGTAAGGAAGTGGCAGATTTTTTCCGGTTGTGTATTTTCAAATTCTAGCGCACTCGAGCTGGTTTCTCCAAAATGACATACCACACCTTTAAGGGAGTAAATGTAACAACCATATCACATGTACATCACTGTGACATCACTACATAACACTGGCGCTTCTATTGGCTAGCTAGCGCTCCAACACAGTGTACGTGATTTGCTTGAGAAATCACAGCAGAGCCGGCCAGCTCAACCAATCAGAGCAGGGTGTGGTCTGGTTTCAGACAGAGTGTGAAAAGAGGTGTTGCAGCACAGGCAGTATGAGAAAAACATGTCACAGTAGAGGCACAAAATACAAATAAGAAACCTAAAAATTAGCATCATAGGGCCCCTTAACAATTCTAACCCTCCGGAAACTGCCTGTTTATAGAGGTACTGCACTCCCATTCATCAATTGAGTGTGTTAGTATTATTTTGCATAATTTCTGTGTTTGTTTATGCTTATGTGTTTATATTTGTTCTTCCAGACTCATGCATTGCCAAATCATCCTCGTTGCCAGGCTACGGCAAAAATGGACTGAGGGTAAGCAACCTATCATGTTAACTGTGTGTGATTTCTATGAGTTTACTTCCTGCGGCAAACTAAGTCAGTAACTGACTACTTCATATTGGTATTATATTTCTAATTGATACATTATTATACAGAATTCCCACTGATGGAACTTTCTATAGATGTAATATTTTATGATTTCTTTCTGCTTTGCTAGATCCTTTCCCTTTATCATCTTCTTGCTGCGTGTTTGCTAAACTGCTCTTGTTGCGTTCTAGCAGCCTGGCAGTGCGGGTGCAGATTATTACCAGTATGACAGCAGTAATGCAGTTAATTGGCAGATCAGAGGTAAGCCTATTGTACACTTTACATCTCATTATCCTCAGTCCTTCTAGTTTTCTCCCAGTGCATGTTATTAAGACTGTCTAGAATGATTTTAAAAAACAAGAATCAACAAATGCAGTTTATGTGACTGATATTGTAATTTCTCTCCTCCTTTTCTTGTAGAATACAAGGTAAGAAAGCCAACCATTACTGAGCTACAAATAACGTTCCGGATCAAAAGTAACAGATAAGGATGATGTGTTGCCTTTTTAAAGTTTACAGTAAACAGTGGGCTGATATCACTCAGTAACACCAACTAAAGCTGACTGCCTCATTTTATTAACAGCAAAGTTAACATATTAAGAGTATTTATATTTCTCACTATTATTCCTTCTCCATCATATCAAAAAGTGTAGATCTTCAAGGAAGAATATTCTATTATCTTTTTTATTACTGCCTTTAATGATAGTGAAAAAAGACTGCAACAAATTCTTAGTTGCACTGACTAATGCGTGCAATTAAGTGTAATGAGTATAACAACTCTAAAAACAAGTTTAATTTAAAGAGTCCACAGACTTAAAACAATGTAAAGCTATATGGAAGAAGAAAAACAAGCACATTTCAGCAGAAACATTGATGTTTCTTAATCTGTTACTCAGTGGTTATATACTTATATCTGCATGAATAATTACCCAAACGAAACAAAGAGACTTCATACATTTTTCTAATACATTTTAGCCTCTGTCATTGTTGTTAATACTGCTGTTTGCCACTAGATGGTGACAAAGATCAAGAGAGTCTCATGTGAATGATGTTGTCAATAAACTTCATCTGTAAACAATTACGAATGACCTTATAAGTGAAAGTCCCTGGAAGAAGCATCTGAATGCAGTTACATTTACAGTTTCTGTCAAAGGAACCGTGCTGAGTGTTGGTGCAGGAAGCTTGTAGGAATGGCAGATGTAAATGTAATTGAAACAACCCCTCAGAAGTGTTGACATGCACTTTTTAGAAATAATTTCCTTTTGTTTGTGTGTGTGTTAGATCTACCCATACGAAGCCCTAATAGTGTCAGTTAGAGGGCAGCAGCGTCTCCCGAGTGACGTGGACCGAGCCAGACTGGAGGTAAACCTCTACACGGCGCTTTAACAAAATATACTTTGATAAATGTCTTATATAGATGGACAACAACACAGACAGACTGACATTGCTATCTTTATACTCATGTCTTCAATGTTTATTGATCAAACTTCTGAAACAGACAGGCACATGATCGTAATCACTGACATTGTTGGGAAGTAACTAGTCAAATGTAACCTAAATAAATGTAGTTTACAGTTGTTGAGAATAAATGTGTAATTAAATGACAGTTACTTATATACATTATATTATTTTCAGTTAAAACCTTATATGTGGAAAACAACATTCATTCTGTCGGTCTGTTCCAATATTAAAGTTATTTTGAAGAACGTCTCATTAAAGTTTGACAGTTATATGAAGTGATAGAGATAGTTACTCTACAGGTTATCCAGTAGTCTGTAATTTAAAGAATAATAATAATAACCTTTCAAACACTGATCATTTCCTCTCCCTCTCTAAACGTCTCCTCCCAGCGTCACCTCTCCCCGGAGGAGTTCTTCAGAGTCTTTGGGATGGCCATGTCTGCCTTTGATCTTCTTGTTCAGTGGAAGAAAAACGAACTGAAGAAACAGGTCCGACTCTTCTGAGAAAATGAATCCATTAGAACCGTTTAACCCTAATACAGGACCATCGCCAACTCTGTGTGCTCCGGGAAATAGTCTCTGCCTGCTGACCCCAGACAGTGGAACAGAAACGGGATGAAAAAAACAGTCTGTCCTCCCTTGAGGAGGCAAAATTAAAACCGTTGGCCTCCTTATCTTGTTTGTTCTTCTTAAGCAATACACAAGGCAGCCAACTGGCCAAAAGGGAAGGAAAACTGAAAGGAGGGGAAGGAAAACTCGACGGAAAGGATAAACCTTTGAGAGTCAGCATATGGGCCGCACTGGATCTGCATAAAACAGAAAATGTCTGCCTTTCCATTTTTCTACCAGCAGATGTCAGTGTGTTAACAGTGGCAGTATCATGGGGACCAGTTGGACTGTAAGCTGACTACTTCCTACTATACTGAGGGTCTGCCACACTGCACCAAATGTACCTCCATGATGAAAATTAGGGAGAACGTTTAGGAAGCCGATATGCTGCTTGGAAGACAAACTGGCATACTGTTGGAGAGAAAAAGGATCCAGTTTTCTCCACTCAGACACTATTGTCAGGCACTCATAAACCAACGACAACAGTTTTGTTCACATTAGATTTAGATTAAGAGAGATTTAATACTGGCCTATGTTTGTTAATTTGATGTCAGAATTTCTTGAAGCCATATCAGTGTTTAACCTAAACACTGATTCTTTAACCTAAACACTGATTCTTGAAGCCATATCAGTGACAGACTGTACAGTACACTGAAGTGGTGCTAAGGTTTAATGTGAATGAACTGTGTCATTGAAATCAGGTTTAGTATTATACACTTAAAAATTAGACATCTATGTTTAGCTTATTTTTATTTAAATATGTCAGCTTTTTCCAATTCATACTGTACGTGCAGCACTCGTGGGGCGGCTCAGAATTTCAGCTGCTGGATTACATTTAAGCCAGACTGAAGTGTGTGTGTGTGTGTGTGTGTGTGTGTGTGTGGTGTGTGTGTGTGTGTGTGTGTGTGTGTGTGTGTGTGTGTGTGTGTGTGTGTGTGTGTGTGTGTGTGTGTGTGTGTGTGTGTGTGTGTGTGTGTGTGTGTGTGTGTGTGTGTGTGTGTGTGTGTGTGTGTGTGCGCACAATTAAAGCAAATGACTAATGGAGGTTTCATGGAGGATTATACAGATCCCCTGTTTAAGAGAGAAAAACAATGCTCGGGTGGAGGAAGGAAAAAGGAGAGATGAAGAACGGAGAAACGGTGGAAATAGTAGAGTAGAGGCACAAGGAATATAATGAGAATACATACAAAGAGAAAAATAGCAGTGACAAAGAAAGTGTATTTGACAGGTGTCCCAAAAGGAAAGGATTTATGTTGGGGATAAATAGGTGGGAGGAGAGAAACTGAGCTGAAATAGATTTAATAAAAACAGAATGTGTTGGATAGATTATGATTGAATGTAAAATATGAGATAATGCTGTTATGTGTGTCTGTGTGTTTGTATGTGCGTTTGTGTAAACAGGTCTTCAACCCTACGTTAAAGCACACTGTTTGGCACTGACAATTATAATTTGCAAAACCTGGGTCTGTCACTGCAACTGAATAAATGATTTTTAGCATCACAACTGCCTCATTTTCATTTTTCAAGACCCCTGGATCTACAGTACTTGATGATGATTTGGATGGTGTGTTTATTTCAGACTTGTAGTTTTTTTTCTTTTGATGTCATTGGGCCAGCTGTTTCTTGAAAGAATTAGTTGCAACTAATACTCTGATATAATGCATTTATTTTTTATATCATGACATTACATTTATTATTACTCAAGCATCAATATGAAAGTGCTGTTTTGGAAACACTAATGAACAGAATATGTTAAATTGAACCACCTCTAGTCATATGTGATTTATCCTTGGAGTCATGGCTTTAAAATGCGCGGTAAACCCACAAATCTTCAATTGACTGGCACTAGGACCCGGAGGAGCTCTGGATGATGACCCGGCGGCTCCGAATCAAGCTACAAACTGTAGCGGGCAGAGTGACTCACTGAGCCGGTCAGAGGCTGACGGAGCTCCGCTGTGTCTGCGGAGAACACGCCTCGCATGTTACAACCATAACTTTTCAATGAATCAACCCAGGGATTATCACCGGAAATAGGCACCCCGACCCGACTTTAAAACATTAAACGACATGGACTCCAAGCGCCAAAGTGGTGAGTAACAGTCTCTCTCTCTTTATAGCATATCTTCGTTTATCGGCGACAAAGAACTACAGTAATAACTTTAAGAAGCCTCCATAAATGGGAAGGCATACATGCACACTTTTGTGGAGATTAATGGTCACAAGCGTGCGAGGCATACAATATAGGATTAACTACCAAGCCTGTGTTTCCATAGGCTTCTACTTGCCACTTAAAATCACTGTACAACATATTAACATGAACAGTAAAACGTAATGTTTTCATAGAACAACTCTTAGGGAAGTTCCTTCAGTCAGTTAACCTGAATCGCCATCCTCTCGTGTTTTGTTTTTTTTGTTTTTTAAGAACCTTAATTGTAAACCTTTATTTGATGGCGATGCTGGAGAGAGACAATAAATATATATTGTCACTTAAACAAAACATATGACCGTTGACAGTCAAACAACGTTGCAACCTTTTTATTATAATTATTTTGTTCATATATTAGTTATCAAAGTACAAATATAAAGTGAAGTGGGCTACCATCAGTCAGTTAACCTGAATCGCCCTCCTCTTGTGTTTTATTTTATTTATTTATTTATTGAGAAAATGAATTGTATACCTTGATTTGATAGTAATGCTGGAGAGAGATAGAGGGAATATATATTGTCTCTTGAAAAAAAAAAAAAATTAACATTGACAGTCACACAACGTTGCAACCTTTTTATTTATTGTTGTATTATTAAGAACATGTATAGCTTTTTTTGATAGTGAAACTTAAGAGACACAGGAAATACAAGAGTAGGGGGATGACCATATATTCTGTATATAATAATGACGTCAACCATGCTCCCGGTTGCTTGTACCGGGAGAGTGATGTCATATCACCTACACACCGGGTGGTGCGCTGTGTGAGGATGGAGGGTGAGGATGGAGGAGGTTTCCTCTCTCAGGTAGTGTCGTGTGATGCAATCTGATACCAACAGAGAAGTGCCCCGCTGGAAATGAAGCAGCTGAATGGCTGCTCTGTTTAAACTCCTCCAGGCGGCAGAGCTGCCAACAGGAAGCTGCTTCATGTCACCAGGTGATGGAGCTGGGTCTGAGCTGACAAGGATTATCTAGAGGAGAACAATTACCATCATAAAAACACTTTTTCATGCTTCAGTAAAACTCCTTTTTAAGTTGCCAACAGGTAATAGGCCAATTATTTAGGCATATTATTAATTCACCCAGAAATCATTTAAGTTCCCTTTTAATATAAGTATACATTGAGGTAAAGGAAAGTTCATGCTTATTTCAGATACAAAATGCAATCAAAGCCTCCAAACGATTTTAATTAAAGAAGGGAAGGGAAGGGCTCTTATCATGTGATGGTGATGATGATAATGCAGATCATGTTATCTATGGGTGCAGCATTTCAGCATTATTCTCATCACATCAGAGTCATAAGATACATGTGTTGCTAATAACCTCACAATGGCTGTTTTACTTAAGTTTCTCAATAATTAATGACAGTGTGAGCGGACCTTGACACCATCATTAATCAGACATTGTTAAATACAGAATATACCTTACACCTAGGGATGTCCCGATCCGATCACGTGATCGGGGATCGGAGCCGATCACGTGATTTTCACGTGATCGGGGATCGGGAGAAAAAAATCGGGGATCGGATTTTTTTTTTTTTTTTTTTATAAAATATTTTTATACATTTTATTTAATGTTACAAAACAAAAATGACCATGTTCACGTCTTAAAGTCATCCTGAGGCCTTAGTTTTGGGTTAAAATTACATAACATCATGTATGTGTTGCTTCTTTTGGGCTTGTTTTCATAGACCTGGTTGCTTATTTCTCTCAAATCTGGCCACAGTGGGCGCAGTGTCTAATAGTAGCAGTAAGCTAACAAGAGGCTACGTTCAGCTGGTGCCTCGGGAGTCGGGACAGAGAAAATGTCAGGAGTTTGGAAGTATTATAAAATTGAAAGCGAAGGCAGTGTAACAGCCAGATGCAATGTTTGCAAGGCGGAGGTTCCGCGTGGTGGAAAGAACAGAGCTACGTTCAACATGACCAATCTAATACAAACACCACCAACAACAACACGACGAGTACACAGCGGCCACTCAGGTAACGGCACTGAAACAACCGACACTTTCAGAGACTTTTAAAAGGAAAGAGAAACTGCCCCAGAACAGTGAAAAGGCCAACAAAATAACAGCCAAGATAGCTGAATTCATCGCGTTGGATGACCAGCCGTTATCTGTTACCTTTTTTTTCCTCTTAATGCATTGCATAAAGATCGGATCGGGAAAAATCGGTATCGGCAGATTGTCAAAATCAAATGATCGGAATCGGATCGGGAGCAAAAAAAGGTGATCGGGACATCCCTACTTACACCTGTTTTTTTTTGGTACTGTGAAATGCCATTATGAAGGCCTTTGAAACACTTGGGAATACAGTACACCATTTCTACAGTGTTTTGTGGCCAAACACTTGTGCATCTATGCCCTCACAAAAACAACACTCTTTGGAAATACATTGATAATGGAGATCAGAGCCAGTATAGCAACTGCTACAGCAAATAGGATAAATTATCAGAAGTTGTAAAAGGTTCTGTGTTTAACGACTGTCTCAAGCCTTGACCTCGATAATGGTTCCCTTACATTTCCTTTTCCCTTTTCCTCCCCCTCCTCACCCGGTTATCCTCACTCACTCCCTTCCCTCCGTCCACTATCTTTCAGAGTCAGAAAGTCCAGAGCTCTTCCTTGATTCAATTTGAAATCATATTTCAAAGGGCAGGAAAATGACTTCTTAACTCTGTAAATCCAGAGTGAGCTGTAGTGCAAACCTTCTGCAGTTTGACTTTCTGTGACTGAGATATCTGAGGCAGCAGGTCTATACATGTTGGTGTAGGTGGAAAATAGGCTGATGTGGTGATAACAGTGTTGTAGTCAAGTCACCAATTCACAAGTCCAAGTCACTCTCGAGTCACCACTCTTCGAGTCCGAGTCCAAGTCCGAGTCACCAAGGGAGAGTCGTAGTCGAGTCCGAGTCCAAGTCCGAGTCACCCAAGGAGTGTCCGAGTCGAGTCCGAGTCATCATTACCTGTGTTCGAGTCCGAGTCCGAGTCCAAGTCATCGTACGCCAGAATTCACGAGTCCGAGTCCAAGTCATCGTGCGCGAGAATTCACGAGTCCAAGTCCGAGTCGCGTCAATCAGTGCGCGAGTCCGAGTCGAGTCACGAGTCCCGAAGATCAACACTGGAGTCCGACTCGAGTCCGAGTCCAGGACTCGAGTACTCCATCTCTGGGTGATAACACTACAAACAGGAAGAACACTTGATCATTGTCCAGCTGACGGTCATGTTATCATCACCACCACCTCTCACCTGGGAAACAATGTCAAAAATTGGTTTCTTTTTGTTTATTTCCTTCTAACTTTTTGGCAAGAAAGCAAACACTTCACAAAGTGTTTCTCATTTTGACCTTTTGCTTTCTCACATTAAGTTAGATGACACAATTGATACCACTATGAAAGCAAAGCATGACACTACTGCCACAAGCTAGTTAACTTAGCACAACATCAGCCACGCTGATTCCCAGTATTTGGCATTCTCCACATGTTAATTCACGAGTTTTAGAGCTACTGGTTGACCTATTTTGTTATCTTCTTGCACAGAGCCACCCTTGCCTCTTTTTAATCTATTTGCTTCATCATACTCACTGCAAAAAACATGTTTACCA